AACATACGATCACTCAGGACAACGTGTTATTCATGTATATATATTTAAATTGAAACTATATCGTAATTGCTAATCAAGAACCAATTTATTCGACGGCTACGAGCAGTGGCAATTGCCAGTCGGCGAGATGAAGAAAGTAAAATTCGTTTGGGGCTGTTCGTCAGTCGTCACTGATAACGTGATAATATTCCGGTTGCGTGGACTGTTGTGAGTGCACACAACCACCGAACGAGTGACAGCTGATGTGCCGTTTATTCCATGAAATAATTTTAATTTCAAACGGCGGCAATAAAAATTAATCGTTTATTTTTAGCCGTTTACATCACAGGTTATACATATAGACATCTATACAGTATACATATAAGATTGAAGATAGTATAAAAGTCTGTGGTTTACATCGATATATGTTAATACACAATGATCAAAGTCAAAATCAATTTAATGAAGTAGACATACAAATATTTAAGAAATAAAAAAAAATACCCGAAACTCGATCAATATTTGTGATTACATTCCAATTATTCAATAGACCACAAGAGCGAAAACCATTCACTCTCTCCCATTCCTTGATGGTATTTTATTTGTGTATGAATGGTTGCCACTGGTTACTTGGGTAGATAAGGAAAAAGCATACATCAAATCATCCCCTTATGGCCTCGAATAAAAAAATTATTTCTTAAACAAATGTAAGAGTTGAATGTACTTATGTTTGTAGCTTATATAGTTATATACACAGAAACTACTTAACTGATTTTGTGAAATTTTCAAATTGTTCTTAGACATCGGGAAAATGTAGAGAGTAGTTTGAACAACTTTTGATTTATACCAATTAGCAATTCAGACATAAAAATTCCGGGGTGAATATTAACACGAATCAGATGAGGGCTTAGCACCCCGAATCTAATGATTATCTTAAATCATAGTTAAAAATCTTAAACACGTGCCACTATTATATGGGCCAAGACAGATTAAGGGACATATCAATTATCCACATAGAAAGAGATATGGGTAGGTATAGTCCTTAATAAATGTTCACTCTTCACTGTAATTATATATTTCTAGTTTAATTACAGTGAAACTTTCCTATGACAAACAAAATGTAAAACGAAATATTTTTGAGAACCAAACCAATTTAAAACCAAAGTATTTTATTTAATTTTACTAAATTCTCTGTAATACAATATTTTTATAATGACCCATGAATCATGATGCCACGAGACTTTGTAATATGGAGATTTCACTGTACATATTGATATAAAATTTAAAAAAAAACATAAATTGTTATAATTATAGTGGCTGTGAGTTAATGAAATGAAAACTCTTAAAAGATGCATTTAAAATCTTAATGAATACACTTTAAAATTCAATATACCTACATAAATCTTGAAAAATGAATTAAGCTATGTTAAGAAAAATAATATATTTTAAATTATTTTTAACGATTAAAAAATATGAGTCAAACGTTTTTAATAAATGAATTTGTAAAAATATCGAAAGAAGTAATGAACTAATAAATAATAACAAATTGACGGGTAAATGCTAAAATAATACCGAATATTAAAAAACAATACTCAAAATGCAAAAAAAAGATTCAAAATTAAGTTTGTAGTACAAAGTAATACAAAGTCTGTACCTAATTCAAAATTTGTGTTAAGAAAGTTATATTTTACAATAAGCTAAAAACGATGCATTTTTTTAAAACTCACTGCCCTATACAATATTGATTTAAATCTTTAATTTATTTTATTTTATCAATAGAGACATCAAATGTAACGGATATAAGAAGAAGTATCAATATATATAAGGAGTGTGAATGGCAAAACCCCTCACTGCTTTGTTTTATTTAAAATGTCTTTGGTGCTTGACTGCTTGAGCACCCCCTAATATTTTTGGGTGACTTGCGACTATAGGGGAGAGGAAATAAGGCCTCTCCTGGAATTATCACGAAATTTAAAATTATACACTCGTATCATGGAGTAGGTAGTACTATAAAATGTTCTATCAATTGACAATAATAATTATAATAAAAGATATCTACTATAATTACTAGGATATACGAAATCTATGTTTAAAATAGTCGTGGTGTCGAAGCAGTCAGTTATAATAACTCGTACCATCGTCTATTATCCCAATAAGTGGGATACTGGGGTGTGACTATGTGAGCTAGGGAGGACACGAGATTAATTTTTTTGTTATTATATGATATATCTATTATAAAATATAGTAATTGGGCCCATTCTATTGCAGGTCATCTCTGTCATTTCAATAATTAAATTATACAAAAATAGTGTACCTATAGACATTTTATAACGGTAGGAAGTAGGAACTGTTTTTGTAACAATCAAATTAAAAGATAATTACATGGTTTGTCATCGTTATATATCAACTCTTGTTGTCAAAGCGTCATGTTAAATATATAATTATAGTAATAATATAGGTAAATTGCAATTGTATACTTATGTTCCATATATTACATTGCTGTTTTTATTATGTTATTATGACGTGTTAATAATGTATAAATGGTGTCTGTTAACATAACTTATAAGATTATTCTATACAGAGAACGCGCCACGTCGGTAACATTGTAACAAGTGGTATAGACGGTATAGTAGAAATGCCAGACACAATGGTTGTGCCTCGTTTGTAAGCAAATCATTTCTATAGGATATATAACGTATCATATATATAAATATATTTTTTTTTGTCATTTTAATAAAATAAGAAACAATATGGTGAGTTAGATAATACTGATAGGTAAAAATAATTATGAAACATTATGTCACACAATAATTACTTACTACTTTAATGCCGGTTGGCGTGTTTCATAAATAACCAATCATCAACCATTTAATGATACAATAATAAGCTAATGGTACCATAAACATGATTTAGTAGTGGATACATTTAATGGTCCATTAAATTAATACATTTCTTTAGGTAACCCAGCTATAATCTGTATTCTTTAAACTAAATTAAAAGGAAATTGAGCATAGGTATAAGGTAGGTCAATTAAATTGTGCTTATAAAGCATAATATGTTAATAAATAGAGAAAACAGAACATTACACTTATATAAAGTATTAGGTAGTTGTAAAGTTGCATCATTTATTTATTACCAATAAACGATGTTTATTTAAAATAACACGATATGAAAAAACACAAAAAATTTTTTTTGGGTATAGTTACTTAATTTCTAATTTATCACAACATTATGAATATATCGCATTAAGTTGCCCACAGACCAGAGTAATAGTGACATGTTTATTATATTATGTAGAACTGTAGACCACTATAAATTGTGTCTTGATGTAAAAAATGTTATTAATTTTAAATTATAAATTATGATTCATGGTTTTAACCAAGTCTATTAAAATGAAAAATGAAAAATTTTCATTTAAATGTTTGCTTAATATGCATCATATGGATATAATATGCTATATATCACCTAGGTCTTTGGGCATCTAATTATACGTACAATGGCATAGTCTTTGAAAAATGTTCAAACTAAATGTATAAACAAACAAACAATATTTTTTTTACTTAAAAAAAAATACGAATAATCATGGTTTTTATAGTTATAATTTTATATACTAATTTACTCACTCTCGTGGACATAATAATATGATATAAATAACCTTAATATTCAATCAAACAATAAATTAACAATATTTTACTTTGCCCATAGTAAATGTTTATACAATTTTTTAACGTATAAAGTGTTGAAAATCACGTATAAAAACTATATATTTGTATTGCACTCGTATTCGGTAATCTAAAGTAAATATAATTTTGGTAATCAGTAAAAATGTTAAGATCATTAAAATAATAAATAAATATAATAAAAACTTAAAACGCCAAATCATTGAAAAATATTTATATAAATGGTTCACTATTTTTAGAAGCTAGGTAAAAATCCGTAAATACACAGATTAATTATTGTTGTACAAAAGTACCCATATATCTGAACACATATGTATAGGTTGTAGGTAAACATATAAAAAATAGGTCAATCTATAATTATTTTAGTCAATATAAACGTTTTGAGTTCATTGTATATTTGTTTTCTACCTAATTATGTATGTCGTCACCATTTATATTCTAATATTGCACTTTTTAAAGATAATAATATGTTACACGAATAACACAAATAATAATAATAGTAATAATAATAATAATAATAATTATGATAGTAATAATAATAATAATAATAATAATAATAATAATAATAATAATAATAATAGGTAATATTATTAAGTAGATATATAGTTTTGATATTTCGTTCTATAGGCATTAGGCAGTATATCGCATATGGAATGATATTAAAATTAAATATACAATCACAAAAAAAAAAATACTATGCAAAATCAAACCTGATAATATTATTAATAGTAATATATTTTTAATACTTATAAAATCGGGAAGGTAATTAAACATCTGTTTTATAAATATAAAATATCAATTACTTCAATTTAAATGTATTTTTCATTTTTGATAAACAAAAAATGATTTAGTATTATTAAAGCAAAACAAAATAAAATATAACTGAAAGAAACAAAAATGAATAATTTAATTTTCTTAATAACTACAAGATCTATCAATCAATGGATCACCACTAACCAGTAAGTATGAAAGTGAGTTGATAAAATATTTTGTTCAGAATCACTGTATTCATAAATTCTAAATTATAGTATGCATAAAACATTTCTTTCAATCCCTATGATTGTAGATTTTTAATCAGAAACTGGAAAATGGTTTCTAATTAATGATAGTATACACTATAAAAAATTTTAATACGACTAGAATGATTTATTTATACGTATATAATATTTGAAATCCAATTAATATTTGTTATATATTTGTTACTTTTATTTCTTATTTATATACTATTTTTAAATTAATTAACATTACACGAGTTATAGTAAACACTTGAATACAAATTTCAAATTTGGCTCGGAAAACAGTAGGTAATTTCAATAGAATTTAAATCGTGTGAGTATCTTGGTGTAATATTTAAATCGAGTGAATATCACCATAATATGGTATGATATTATACACTCCATTCCATTCTACCACTTGAATAACGAGACATCATTTTAAACTCGACAACATGGTTAAAAATATTAAGTTTTTAATCAATATGAACGATAAAAATGGCAGGATTTCAGTCACTGTTTAGAAAAAAAGTACAAAAAGGATTTTAAAACAATAAAACTGGACTTCGACATAGAATAAAATATAATCTAGGTATATCAAGAGCAGAAATACAACGAATGGCACATGGTTTTTACTAACTATCGGTACCTATAGGTACTTACGGAAGATATTTTGATAATTGTTCTTAGCAAAATAAAATAACTACAGTTAATATTTTGATTTTGGCACATTTTATTAGCTCGCGAAAATTACACGTGCTCATTACATAATATTTACGTACATTCTGTCTCATCTTATGTCTGTGTATTAATATATTATCTGTCTCATTACATCTGCGGTATATCATCTATACATATACTACAGACATACTCGTAAACATTTCATTAATATTACATGGTACATCGTTAAAGTATTTACCGAAAAAGAAAAATCCCAAAGGCATTAATTAATTAATTATTGTTATATTACGTGAATCGGTTTGTAAAGTATTCGTCTGAGTTCCTTACCTACACGGAGTCGTGCCTGTTGACGGACGGACGCTATGACGCCGGACGGACAAAATCCACTTTACGCAATTACTTTTCCCCGCGCACGAACGTTGCAGATAATGATTTGTGGAAAACAATTTGATATTATGATATACGGACGTAATCATGCGTGTATTGTCTTAACGTCGTTAAGAAAGAAAACCGTAAGAGAAACGATGATATAATAGTAATAAATAATAAATAATAATAATAATATAATTAATTAATACGCTATATTATAAGTAATATACCTAAAATCGCTATAAGTAAATCAAGTCACACGACGCCAATCGCATTTGTTCATGAAGTAAAAACCACTGACCACAGTCCACGGGTTGCAGCGGCGCAGTCGTGCAGGTTTTTCGCGCGGTCCCGTTACCGCGTTCGAGGTATGTCGCGAGTTTTCGTGCTCTTACCCATCATTATATCATATATACACCTACTATACAAAGTAAACAGTAGCTATACCCCTAGTCGATAAACGCCAATCAGAATGAACTAATGACCGACGTGGACACTAAGTACACTTTACATAACCCTCTCCCCACACCCCACCCCCCACTAACGGCATCCCCGTCATTATTACACTTGAACGTCATTTTTATCGTGGTCACTGCACGTTCCTGAAGAACATGCTGAGCTTCCACACGGCCATGGGCTTTTTGAACACGGTCACGGAACCGTCGCGTTCCATGCCGCCCAAAAGGTACACCGCGTACTCTTTGACTTGGTGGTGCTCGACGACTGCGGCGCGACCCATAGCCGACGCGCGTCCAGCGCTCGCGGCCCGCGCCGCTTTTGTCGACGACCGGACGTCTGAACTCGAGTTGAACGCCGTCGACGAGTTGAGCGCCAGAGTTTTGGGCGGCGCCGGACGGTTCATGTCGCGCATTTCGAACGCGTTGTCGCTGTCCTCCAGCAGGCTGTCCGGTGGGCTGTTGAGCTTGACGTAGTCACCTGCATGTGCACAGACAAGACGTCAAAAACACACTTTAGCCCATATTTTATAATTTTTATATATAAACAGTCTAATGCAAAATGTGCATTATGGCAGACGACCCATATTCCAGGGGCGGATCTAGGATTATTTTATACTGCAAGGGATGCTATATACGATTGTTATTATTTCACTTTACACTTATCGGGCACAACGTTTATAGAAAATTATGTTATTTATACCGAAGGAAAATTAAAGTTAACTCGGCCTAAGCATCTTAGCGCCCCCACTAGATCTACCCCTTGCTTTTGTCAGTACCTAATTTATGATATGTTATTGAGTGAGTAACCGCAAGTAGTATAACTTATTAGTTACCTACATTGTATCATAATTATCATAAAGGGGCGGGGTGTTACTTTTATTGGTAGGGCCGTAGGGGGTACCCTAAACTCCTGTAATTTTGGATTTTTTCCACTTGTGAGACAAGTCTGAATAGAGTTTAGTCAAATTCGACATGCAACCGGATACACTACCAACCTATAAAATATGTATGACGTGCATAATAATTAAAGAAACATTTAGTTTAAAAATGGTATTTGAAATTCTTCTTTTTAATTTTTTTTTGTAACCTAGTTCCGTATTGTCTTGAACTATGAACAGTGAACATATTCAAGAACATTGAGTGCAAATAAAATATTTTCTAAATTAAATTAAAATATAAGTTATTATGAAACTACGCGCTACAGTTAGACTATTTCAAACTTACAGTCTGAGTAAAACTAGTTTAAAATGAATGCAATCAGGATATTCCTGTATGTATAATGCATATAAATATTTTATACACACGGTTTATAGAGGATCAAAATGAAAAAAATACAGAATAAAATTAATAATAATAATGGCTTGCGTAACGAAAAAGCACGAACCGTGTTTTTTATATAAATTATCGTAATATTATATTACTGTAAATTCGAGTATTTTTTTACATTGTAATGTATTTATTATTTTACGAACAAGAAATTGTATTATTGATATATTTTGATAAGAATTCGTTAGTGTTATACAATTAAAAGTGGACACTCCCACGGGATGACATTAAAAGTAGTTAAGCCACTATGTTTTATTGCCGCTTAGGGACTAATAACCACTAAAAATAGCCAAAATACAATTTGAAAAACTAATTTAAATTAAACATAATATAGTATATACGTATTGCTATAGAGGTTTTCAGCTCACACTTCATACATTTTATTTTAAAAACATAAACCTTAATACATATAATATTGTTAGCAAACCAAAAAAAATAATATGATAACAATTCAGAATTAATTGCGGTTGGATGATGGAAATAAAAAGAAATGAAATATGTGATCGCATAGTGGTTTTATAAGAATGAGAGTAGAAAGATCTAATTTTTCTTTTAAACTTTTTCGGCTACAAACTTTGGTGATAAAAATATTAGCTAACCCCTCAACAATTTTAATGGATTTTCGCCAATGGCAGATGATGATGGCACGACTGATGTTGCCGCCCGCGGGGACAACTTATATAATATTCACTAACGGAAGAGGGACGAGCTGGTGTTTATTGTTCATTACGGATATATATACGTATATACATTATATTCCGTGCCAGTGGCATAGCCAAGAGGCCACAGCTTTCCCTGAAATTTCAGGAAAATTTATAAATGCTTTTAGTATTCTGTGAACATATTATCATATTGAGTATTACAACGATTATTATGAATAAGCGACTTAATTTTATATTAAAATTGTTATTTGCAGTAAAAATCTAAAAGCACCCGCAGGCCATAAAAGTCTATATCTATAGGCCACAGCATTAGCATACCAAACCTACGAGAGACCCAGATTGAATCTCTCCTAATCTCCTATATAAAAAAATTTCGACCCTCAACCCTAAATAAATATTATATATATTATTAGCATGGCCACAATAATAATTAGTATGTTTTTCATATTCCATTTGTATCCTCGTTGTTACCCACGAAAGAGTCAAATACTTATGTTAAAATCATTTCAACATATTTTTTATATAGTAAACCAGCGGTTCTTAACCTGTGGTCCGCGGCCCCCTGGGGGTCTGCAATACTCATGTCGGGGGTCCACGGCAGCCTTACTACCTAACATAAGTTGATACGTAACATGAGTGCATTATTACAATATTTTTGGATTATTATTTTTGAAAATTTTTCGTTGCATGTTCGAAAGGATTATCCACAATTATCGAGTAAAGCTCTGAAAGTTTTGATTCAATTCCCCACAACTTATTTATGTGAAAAAGCCTTCTCACTTTACATTAAGAATAAGTTTCGAAACCGAATACAAAACGTAGAACCTGAACTAAGATTAAAGCTTTCAAGTATTGAGCTCGATGTTCAAAAACTCGTAACTGAAATGCCAACATCAACCATCGCATTAATACTTATTAATTAAGTAAATAAAAATTAAGTTTTGAGAATATTAAGAATAAAATAATTTATATTACAATTTTTTTTAAATTTAAGTGTTTAATGGTGTTAAAGTTTAAAATGAAAAATTAAGTTTAATAAGAATAATTATAAATGTGTATATTTTGTTATGTCTACTTCTATAATTTGTAATATACAATAGTTATTATAATTTTGGTTATGATAACTTGATATGTTTTGTAAAAAAAAGGTATTCGACAAAAAATTGGTGGGGGGGGGGGGGTCAGCGATTTCTAAAAATATTTCATCGGGGGTCCGTGTTCTACAAAAGGTTAAGAACCGCTGTAGTAAACTATTGTTTATCGCTAAAAGTTTTAAGCTTTCAAACTACTGAAATTATTTGGGATTGGGAGACTATACTAGGCCAACCTCCGCTTGCAGGTGTCCCCTGGATGACTGAATAACGCTAATAGTCTGAAGTGACTGAACTCAAAGAACTAAAAATATTTGTTGGCTTTAATTCTGACAGCCTATAAGTAATTGCGGGGCTCAATTAAACATTATCGATTATTTTATACATAATTTACACACATCACAGTATTAAGGTACCAACCTTTGGATATGGCGTTCTGTATGTCAGCCACCATGTAGTTGGGATTGGAGAAGCACATGGGTCCGTCACCGCCGTTAGGTGACTGGTGCACAGTCTCGATGCTGACGTAACCGGAAGTAATTTCGCCCGGTTCCTCGGGCGTGCTGTACGGGTTGCCGAACCGGGCGGACGCGGAGCTAGTCATCGGGTAGCTGCGCCGGTTGAGCGTTTTGTTGAGCGACGATGACCCGGACGACAGCGGCCCGTTGGGGTGGAACCGCATGTGCACGGACCCGAAGTCCTGATCGAACTCAACGCGTGGGCTCGGCGCCTCCTCGCCCTCCAGGTACACGAGTTTGGTAGCCTCGACCGGGGTCAAGGCCACGCCAAAATTGGGCACGGACATGGGGTCACGGGGCATTCTGCACGGCGGGAACGATGACTTGTAGCCGGGAGGCGAAGCGTTCGACACCACCGGCGATATCAGCGACCGGGCGATAACATTTGCCGATTGCGACTTGACCATGTTCTGCTGTTGCTGCTGCACATGAGAAGCGTCGGCGGACATCACGCTGTCCGTGCTGCTCAGCACGCTGTAGGTCTTGTTATGCGCCAGCCGGTACAGGTTGAGTTGTGACAGCTTGGATATCTCTTTCAGGATGTTCACGTTCGAGCCGCCCAAAGACGAGGCACGGGATTCGGGCCGGCACTGGTGGTGCCATTGATGCGGTTGGCCGCCGTGATCCCGGTCACCACTGCCGGTCTGTTGTTGCCTGTCCGCGGATCGACCGCTCCTGGACCGCCGGACCACGATGGGCGACTGTACGCCATTCTCGCGGCTACTCTTGGTCGTTGACGTCGAGGTCGTTTCCGACACCGTCAGCGTCACAGCTTCGCAGATCGCTGGAGGCTGTGGATAGGTGGTGTGCACTTTTTCCCAAGTTTCAGTAGCTGTAAACAGAATGAAACGTTCGTAAGATGCGTACATTGTACGATGTATACAACAATAATACAAGTTTAATATGACTACACCCAGAAGAGTAATTTTTTTCTGGGTGGGAGGGAGGGGGCAGTTTTTGTAAAAAGTCTTCCTGTTGGATGATAAGAATAAAAACGAAAGCGCCAGTATGTGTTTTATATCTGATGGATATTGAGTAGATCGTTTTGTATTTTGTATTTTTACCTTTGAAATACATTTTTGTTATGGTCCGAGTGTCCAACTATTGGGAGTATTGACCAACACCTACCAAGTACCTACCAAGTAATTTAGTGAAAATTGATAACATTAATATTTATTATGTATAATTTGTACATTTTACAATGTTGTAGTTTGTAGTGTTTGTACCCATAGACTTCGATATAGAAGTTGTATAACGGCCCTGGTCTAAAACAGCAGTTTCTACAATAATATATACTATGTATAGGTACCACTTATACTGTCTAGTGTCTACTTCGTAATATCATAGATGATATACACCATAACGACTACAAACCGTGGTTTGTATTAATTACACCCACGAAGCACAAACTAATAATATTCTTAATCGTTAAAAATCGTCAAAACTAGAAATCACGAAAATTGATACTGAATAATTTCTATCAGAATATTAAAAAGAAAAAAATCCTAATAATCGAAGATGCCCATTTATTATAAATATATAGTTCTGTTTTACCCGATTTAAAGATTACTGATAATTTATGTTATTGTTTTATTTTTTATGATTTGTTATAAAATTGATTTTGTCATGTTAAATTTAATTAAATAATAAAATATACGAAAATATAAGAAGTCTAATATGGCCTGCAAACATGATAGCAATCATAACTAAGAAACTGAAATTATGCCCCCTCATTACGCCAATGGCCTATATAATACATTTTAGGTTAAAATTATGTTTTTGTTTATTTTTTTAATCTAACTAATTTGTAAGCTTTTTTTATGTTTAAGTAAACATAACACATTATCTACGATTCAACACAGAATACAAAAATATGTGTCAGCTGAGTTTACACATTTAATTAGGATAATTTTATTCACTGGTTAGTTGTTGTCATGTTTAATATCGTGCTTTAACGAAATAAACAGAAAAAATAATTTAAAACTGTTTTAATTGTTTCACATTCATTACCTATAGTTTGTTTAATCCTAAATACAAGATATGGTATATTATATGAATCATTACCGAAATAAAACTTCCATAAATCATTACTAATCTGCCCTCCTTTTTTTCCACCAAATATAATCATAGAACCCATCACTTTGGAAGCACAGTGGCCATGCAATAAACCTGGATTTACTTTAGTCTTCAAGACACTCCATTTTTTCTTCACTGAAACAAAAATTATTCTTTACCAATAAAGTTGAATATTGTGGGCTGATTTATAATTATTAAAATATGCAATGTTTTAATATTATATGACTTAATTATTATGAACAACAAAGTATAAGAATAATAAAATGAATGTAAGTATTTCGCCTCACTAGAGAAAGTTAATGATAAAGTTAAAATATATCGAAATGAAAATTTGAATTTAATTAAATAACTGACAATATCTTATACGATTTAATATTTATAGCCTATATAAGTACCAACCAAAATCAAATCTCCACAAATCTGATCTTTCATGTAAATCCGTCATTCCACCATACACCCACATAACATCGTCGTGTATGATTGCTGAATGTTTGTGTCTCGCTGGTGGTAGTACTCTTCCTTGATTAAGTAAATGCCACGACTCGGTATCTAAAATAAAAATAAATTCAAATGATTTTAGTTATTTTCTAGAGTAAAAAAAATAATGTTGATACATAAAAAACATTATATTATATCATTTTCAAAACTATAAAAAATATAACTATAACAGATTAAGAAATTCAAAATTCAAAAATATTTATAAGTCATATATTTTAAAGTTACCGAAATGGAAAGCCCACATTTCATTCGTGGATCCTTTTAGGTCTCTATATCCTCCATAAATAATCATTGAATTTCTGTATACTAATGCAGTATGGCCTCTTCTGCCTTTTGGTACATTTGAACCGGATTTTCCTTTGACTTTTTTCCATTGATTATCCTACAATATTAAAAGAAACTATTTTCACCAACATGTTTGAATTATATATTATTTACATTACTAAACATATACTATTGTTTTCAAAACCCATTAAATACCGGCGTTACAGGGTGTTGGTTAATACATAATATTTGCTGCGGTTTAATGTTCTGAAAGAGTCGATGTAAATACCGACGTTTCCCTCGTCCACATTATAACGCCAACCAGCATTATAATAACGTTCCCCTCAATGGGCATGCAGCAGTTGCATCGGCATTACGAGGGTGCGTTTATTAATAAATACCATTTCATTTTATAGCGCTCAAAATATAAGCACCTCAGAATGCAAAGTTGTAATTTATAATATATATATATAATACATACAAAAATACAAAGCAGCACGTTTATAAAATTGATCCATTAAAACTAAATGAACTCAAACTCAACAGCTGATGTTTAAATTTCGTATATATTGCAACGACAAAAAAACAAAATTTCACATAATTTACATTTTTATCAAGATGTTTCTATTATTTTTTAAATTACTTTAAAGTTGTATTACGCTTCCCCGAAGGTTATTGAAAATCCCACAACTGAACAGAAAAGTGAATAATGAATATGATCAAAATTTTAGGTATAGGATTATATATAGGATATTTTGTATGTTTTCTTTTAAGGCGAACCAGTAGTCAGAGAGTATATTCAAACAAATGTATAAATTGTATAACAATATAAATGGCGAGCAAGTGAGAAAATGATGGTGAGAAATATTTATTGCTATACATTTACAAATTACAACTTAAACTAGTATAACTCGAATTTGTTTTTGTGCCTTTATATTCTTGTCAGAGTTTTACAAGACATTATATAAATGATGTAATTTAAGAAACTACTAGAAAACCTACATAATAATTCTTTTAAAACATTATACGCTTTGTACATTCATAATAATTATTTCATTACTTTAAAAGGATACAACTGTAGTGCTTTAGAATTCTAATTAAATTCAGTAAGCATAATCTAATTATTTAAAACCAGCAATTTGTTTATTTTGTATATGATATTAAGTTTTAATTTAATGAATCATTTTTAACAATTAGCTAAATGAATTAGTGTTTTAAAATTAAATACCTTTTATTATTTAGACTACTTATTGAATAATCAATTTAAATTAATGTTGACATGATATACATACAATTTCCCTTTTTCTTATTGTTTAAAAAAGTACCAATAATACCTCAAGATGTCTGATAATCATTATTTTGAAATTGGATAGATGAATCAAAAATATATATAAATTGAAACAATTAGGAACAAAGCAGGCAATATTTATATTTTATAAACCTACTAAATCGATATGCATTTATACAATATTGATCATTTTCTATCTGTATTTTCATAATACTAATGTATTTTACAAATCATATTATTATACAATCCTACTGAACAAGGATTAACATAATATTATCCATAAATTGTAACACAGGCGTTAAAGAAGGGTAACTTAATCCCGAGGCAATATAATGTCGAGTTATCCCGATACAAGGAGAATACTGATTTTAACGGATTTTAAAAGTATATGACAAACTAACTCTACTACCCCATCGATTCAACTTTGTAAAACCTAGTGTAATACGGATATTTGTTGGCGTCGAAGGAGGGGATATAATTCTCGATTCGTTAGTTATGGCCTACGGGGGCGCACACGCTAGTTGCAGCTGCCACAACGCGCAATCCATCAAAAACAAATGAAAAAAAGTAGATAAATAAGAAAACAACAGCGTACGTGCTCCGAAGTCCGAATAACCGCCCACCACACTTGTAAGAAATTGGATTATCTCGATTGCGCGTCTTGGCACTTTTCACGGCAAATGATCAACTTTTTCTCCCATATATATGCAACTGCAGCGTGACTACGGTTTACACGAGATTTTGATACGAAGCCAAAGTATGCGCGATGGTCGTGAGCTTTTATCGGGTGTAGGTAGGCAGTATATGTACACACAAGTCGAATAAAACAGTCACCCCTCGCAAACACATATAGTGCTATACATGTCGTATATATCCCTTTGGGGATAAAAATGAATTGTGCCACCCGTCTTTCTGTCTCTCTCTCCGAACGAATCGCCCTTCTACAGGAAGGAGTAGCTACGTGGGAACTGGGAACCCTCGTCGTCTTTCCCTGCAGCGTCAAATTAAAAGGACTGTCGGCGGACTAGCGTGACACTAGTGGTTTTTGCTAGCAAAACACGGAACGTTGCACTGTGCAATTAACGGGTTCCAGAGTGCGTAATAATTTCCAGACAGACGTGAAGTTGAAGGCAGAAAACGAATAAATGTTCAAGTATTATAAATATATATATATACATATATGTACCTAAAAAAAAATGAAAATAAATAAACATACTATACAGTTTGAGGGAAAAAACGGACGTCAAACGAGAAAAACGCACCAGATTTTCAAACCGTATTATGTGTTAAGATAATTTACAGAAAAATTATAAATATATACAATTTAATATTTATTAAACTACGGCGACATTGTTCTAACTATACCTGATAGTTAAGTTATACTTGTTGCGTATAATATAGTTGAATTATTTTTAATGAACTAAATCATCTTTTAGTTCACAGTTTCCCTTGAATGTATATACGTTTAAATATTTAAAACTTATTTTACTAACTATTCTTTTTTTTTATTGTTTATTTATAATAAATCTAGCTCAGCAATGACAATTAATATAGTCCATTATATGTACATGTTATTTTAATACTAAGTTAGGTAAATTACAATACTATTACTCAATTAGTAAAAAAATACATTGAAACATTTACAAAAAAATAGTTTAAGAATGTTCAAATTGTATTATATTTAACAATTTGGTTTACAAAAATTGATTATTTATAAGTTATTTTGAATTTGATTTCGATTTATTCATTACGTAATAAATAAATGAATAAATAATGGGTGTTCTATTTGAGGAATTTAAAGACTAAATACTGTTCTAATTCCAAATACTCACTTTAAGTTAACCTCTTCGCAATATATCCCTATATATTAAAATTGAATCGTAAATAAATATTCAAGAACACTTTATAATTTGTTATTAATACATCATTATTTACCAGTAAATACGATGCTAACTTAATAATACTCCATGTAACACAAAAGCCAAAATGCATAAATAAATAGATAATAGACCAAAAGTAATTCAAGTAAAAGGTTAAACTGCAGAGGACCAACGATTTTAGAAACGTTTTAAAATTTAATATTTTTGTTGTGTTGTTTTTTTTTAAGGTTAGAGTTCAAAACATTCAAAAATGTCTATGAAAAATATACCCAGAATAATTGTATAAATATTTTAGTATATCTAAGACAATACCCTAAATCAAAGTTGAAATTCATGCTTTCATGACTATATAAGCAGTGTTGGGTATTACTACTATACCCTATTCAACAAAACGTCTAGGCTTAGTGGAAGGATTCGGTGTTCTGAAACCGTCATATATAAATAAATAATATCCCTCCAAGATGATTCCAATTGTTAGAATTTCTTATTTCTTGTGGCTTTTTTTTAACCATTTCACACTAACAGATAAACAGATAAATACTGTAGTATGTGTATTGTTTTATTTTACTAATGATTTTCAATATTTACTTATAAATTAAATACATCAATAGTTTTAAGACTTAATACGATTTTATCATAAATCTTAACACTGTCATGATTATTTTTTTCCAAAGATTGAGAAAAACATAATAATTTAATATACAAAGTTTAAATTAAAAATGTAATTTTAACTCATCATGGATAAAATTTAATTAATTATAAGTTTGCTTGATAAAACCAAATGGGAAAAATTAATATTGTACATTGTACACAAAATACGTAATATAAAGTAAGTAACAAAATACACGTTGTCGCCGGGAATATCTTGCACGTATTTTTAAATATCATAATTTCATTACAAAAATCATGGGACTATAAAACGGACTTATATGCATAGCAGTTCATGGTCGATATATTGAACAATATTTTAAAACAAACACAAAATATTACATACAATTTCAACAAGTAGTATATAGGTCTTAATTACTTATTGGATTAGCATAAGTTATTTAAGTGTGTAAATCATACAATTATTTACAATATTACGCAGTATTTTTAAAAATATAAATTTAAAAAAAGATTTTGAAAGTTTTTTTTTAGACCATTATAAAATTTGGGCAATATTAGTCATATATTATATTAAAACTGCACTAGAATATCTGCATGATATTTCAAATTAAAGCTACTGTCTTTCCAATCATATAATTAACATACGGTAGATTACATATAATACAAAAGCAAATACACATGTGTGATATGCAAACTGCAGGCCCACTAGGTTACAATGAATTTCTGACAGGGATTTGTATCCAATTTATACGTCTCACCTTTTTTTTTTAAATAATAAATAAGGCATTGAATTTGTACAGATGTGGGCTCCTATTAATTATTACTAGCCTTCAAGGTAAGAAAATCGACGGAATATTCAGAGATATTGTGGTTTTAATACTATAAACTTGTGTAAATGTATGTTTCTAGATCTCATATATACCTACATTCTAACATATAATACCATACGAAATTCAGATTTAAAAATTATAGTGACTAGAAATTTTAACATTCAATAAAATTATATTAGAAATAATGCAATCAATTAGATTACTGTTTCTCGATAAAATACAATATAATCGAATAAAATTAAGTACATTTTAAAAAGTTGCATGTCCTGTTAGTTATTACAATAAAATTCCTTGTATTAAAAAAAAATAATGGTTACACATAATACATTTATATTAATTTACAAGTCCATGCACGTTGTATACTGAATACCTTAATTACAAAGAATACCGAAGTTTAATATTACTCAGGACAAATTACTTATTGCTATTTGAATTAATGGATTTTAATAAATAAATAATAAATGTATCATGTGTTTTAAATTGTCTATGATAACGATAATAATTCCGATCTCATTCAAAAAAGCAGTTTTATGGCATGTTTTTTTGGAACTGAAGTTTAACGTCCGACAGCTTTACGTTAAGTATCATGACCAAAAGTCATAAAAACAACTACCAATATCCATTCCATAATCTATGTATCCAATATAAGCTCCATTTTTAAAACCCTTAAAAACAGTATACATTTTTATAGTACAAAGTATTTCAAAAGTATACATAAAAAGTTTCGATTTTTTACGAATTGTGTTTATATTTTTAAGTAATATAAAATAAATATTTACCCATTACAACAACGGTATGAAATCAAATTATTGACCTTAGGGTCTAAGATTGTATAAAAATGAAAATCATTATCAGTAATTTGAAATGACGGTCGGACTTTCAAATCTTAAGCTATTGTTACTTGCACAGTGCTGCCGTAAAAGCAAATCGATTATATTTAGTTTTACCAGAAGAAACTCTACTTCCATTTCCCTCCCCAATAAACTGTCGTCAAGTACAATTTTTATTGCTTTGAGCCTTTTGGCCAAAGGAAGGAAGTGAAAAAAGTCAACTTTGGATGAATAGAGAGGGTGAGATGGTAGAAATATATAACTGAAATTAAATTATGTATTGCAGCTGCAGTGCAACTCTACAAGGAGCTTTTATGGTGAACTTTGGTAGGGAAATATATTCAGATTTTTGTCACAGTTGCATCACATTTTATATAAAAAAAATGCTAAAAGATTTCATAATTTTCATCCATTAATCACTTGAGTAGTAACTGATATGAAAACTGAAAATATTAAAAATAATTGTTGTTATTCAATATGTATATTGACCAATTACTTTTAAATTTTGTATCAATAAAAAAAAGGAAAAATCCAAAATTTTCCATCTATAATCCATCTAAATCCATCCATTTTCTATCCCACACATAAACGTTTGTTTCTAAGACGAAATTAATGATAACTGACATTATAGTTAACTACCCAGTCATGAGAATGCAAATAGTTTTTAAAAAAATATATACACGTATGAAGGGTACAGGGGAAAACAATAGTCGTCTATTTCTGTAAATTGTTCAGAAGAGAAAAAACAAAGTTCATTATAGAGATATACCCATCTAATTATTAAACAAAAAATATGTTTTATGAATTATTGTTTTATTAAAATGTATCAACTTTGAAAAGTGATTGAAGATTGTGATGATTATTATTGAAAAAAAATATATATAAGTAAAAAGCATGGACTTCAATATTTTTTCACGGTAAATCTGGATTATTATTAATATGTAAAAAATACACATTTTTGAGGTACAGAAAAATTAAACCATTTAAACAATTTTTTTTTTAATCTTCAGCTTAACCCAAAGAATATTATGTATTTATTATTTTTCAAATTTGAAATTTTTAAACTAGATGGAAAAATCTTTAAGATGTATAGAGTGTACATACTCGTTACTTTATACAGTAAAACCTCCCCTAACGGACACCTCCCAATAGCGGACGTTTTCTTGGGAACCAGTTACAAGCTTTCTACAATCAGAACCCTCTGAATAGCGGACACATCTGAATAAAAGACAAAATTTCAGAGACCAAAAGTGTCCGATATTTAAAGGTTTCATCGTTATACCTAATTTATGTGTCATTTGTTTATTGAATAATATATCAACGACATTTAAGATCATTATTATATAACTACTATTTTTATACTATACAGTACGAGTATTTTAGGAATTGTAATTAAATATTAATACCTTTAAAATATTATTACACAATACACGTATTAAAAATGACTTATTTTCTAATTTTAACAAAGTAATTAACATCTTAGAAATCCACTATCGTTACAAAATAATGTAATCAATTAATTAATATTTTTAATTTTTAATACATCAATCCTTAACTCTTATGCGTGTTTGTGGAACTATTATTAATAGTAGTACATATAAGTTATAAGTAAATTATTGTATATTTAACACGCATTTTAATAATTTAATATAGCATATTAATTACAATTACAAGCCACCAATTAAAACCGAATAAAGTGTTTAAAAACCATACATAAACAAAATACCTACTATAGATGGTAATTAAAATATTAAGTACGATAATTAAATTCGTATATTTTCAGCTACGTACACAAACTCAAACTAATTAGAGGAAGTATTTTTACTCTTCAAAAAATGTTAAGTAAATTTAAAAAGTCATTAAACCAAATGAGTCCCGTGAATATAGGCTAATAATGTTAGACCAACAGCCATCTGTGTCAACTATTATCTAGTATATAAGTGATAATACTTTGCATTACCAATTACATTCACTAGTAACCATTATTCAGTGCATCTAAAATACTAAACCAAAAGTATTAAAAACAATCATGAATCGTTTAATCTTCTTCACCGTCGCACTCTCTTTAGTCTTCACGACCGCCAATACACAAAGTGAGTCAGACAACGAAGTCGATACCGAAATTTCGGAAGAGCCTACTACAGACGCCGATACCACCAATAATTCCACGTATTATACCACTGAAGATTTACCTAGTTTAGATTTAACTAACAGCGAATCATTCGAAGCACGGGAAGATGAAATGGCTACCGAAATGGCCTTTATGATAACGTTCATTACAAAGGCCTTCGCAGATATGTCAAGAATTGCAGAAAACATGAAAAGTATGAGCAATAAATCGAATATTGATGAAGCTTCAATGAAAAACCTTGTTAATCATCTGGTAAGTTTTAAGGAAGACGATAGTACAATGGATGAACAAATCAAACGTGTAATGGAATATAGACAGCAATTCAAATCCGCAATTCTAAAACATTTAAAAAATATGCCGATTAACATTGAAGATGCAAAAAAAATGGAAAAAGAACTGCGTAATCAAATGAATCAACGATTGCCGAGCATCCCAACTTCGGAGAACATAATGGATCTTCCTGCAAGTATGCAAAATATACTTCCAAATTAAATTTTAAAATGTATTTTGTAATTGTACTTTAAAATTTGTTTTCAATATTATCAACTGTCATTCTCTCGTTTTGGTCATATTTAAATAAAATATAAAATAGTTTTAACCAATACAATTTTGTATTCATTTATAAAAACAAATAACAACGCTTTCGTTACATACTACCATTTTTGGAATTGTGCTTTATAATACTTAAAGAGGGGATGAGGTGACCGAGTGGTCTGACGCGTCCGCTGCGACGCAGCCGGTCGCGGTTCGATCCTCGGCTACCGGGCGGCATTTTTCTCCGGACAAGTCGCGGTGACCGGAGAACAAGTGCTGCCATCCCCCACCCCCGGGGCATGGCAGAAACCTACGGGTGCCCCATTCGAAATTCTGCCAAAAACAAACACACACGTGTTCCCCCCTACCGTCCCAAAATATACAATACAAACAAACCTACAATACAAATCCTACTACAGCTAATGGCCTCAGTTGCCGAAGCTTAAGATCAATAAAAAAAAAAAAAAAAAATACTTAAAGCGCAGATCATGAGCATTTATGAGTAAGGTATTCGTTTTAAAAAGATTATTTTGTATATTGAAATATTATGTATAATTTGCAAAATTATTATTAAAAAATTAAGGGTTTAATCATTATATTAATTGCATAGTTATTACTTTTAAGTACTTGCCTAACTAGATATACCTTACTAATTAAATTAACCAACATCGATGGGTGTATTCATTACTCTTGTTTAGGTAAGTATTTAAGTTTTTTGAAAAGATGCATTTTTATAAGCCATTAACTTAAATAATGTATTGAATAAAATAGAACTTAACCTCTTACTGACATAATTTTATCTTTACTTTATTAATTCTATTTATTTTATATACCTACTTGTCCTACTTAGAACTTAGAAATATATGTAATTATTTATTTATTCCGAAAAGAACTACTGTTCAAAATGTACGTACAGCGAGAAACAATTTATCAATGTCAGTGAAATGAACGACAATTTCGACATCACTTAAAAAACAATTCGGTTTTTGAAAGAAAATCAATCACTTTCTTATTTCAGACAATTAGATTATCATTTGTATTCAACTGGTAATGTCAAATTTTTTTTTATTGTAAAGCAAAGCAATAAAATAAGCTTTACAGCCTTTACATACATAATATAGACAATAACTATTAATGTAATAGTTATTATAATATACCAAATACTATACTATATAGCCTATTACAAAACTATATGGCCATGTTAATATATTATTACATATATTTAATCTTTTAAGGGTTTTTTTGTTTCATACAATATGCATTACCTTAATACTGTAAGACCATAGTGGAGACTCAGAGGCAGACGAAAACCCCACTTCTCCGCCAAAAACGTATACCTTGTCTTGATAAACGACTGCTGTATGTTCTTGCAAATTTTGCAATGAATCTCCTGTCGGGTGCAACTGTTCCCAGGTGTTATTCGCTGGAATTCAGGAAACGAATGAGGAACATTTTGAATAATATAAGCTATAATATTATGCAATACATTAATCGTTATGGATTACCCCCGTGAACTACATTTGCAAAAAAAACTTATACTATTTACTTGAAATATTAGGTAGGTACTTAATAATTTTCGTTGAAATGTGAATAATAATATAGGTACTGTTATAATTGTCAGGTATTCAATATTTAAAATCGCCAATTTTATACAAATAAAACAGATGAATTAAAAAAATTACATCTATGGATTATAATTTTTTCGATGTTCTTCAATTGCAATTAGGTAAAATGAAGAAGTATAATTATTCGTGTCACGTCATATCACATTTGTCTTATTTTGAAATATTTAAATGGAATATCTTAACTAAATACAAAAAAAAAACGATACATAACTTTTCAATTACTATTTTATTTTCAGACAAATATAACGTACATTGACCACACTATGTTATGTACTTTAATTCAAAAACACTTACACTCAAATTTTATAACCCGAGTAAAAGTTCTATTATATAAAGTGTATTGCACTCAAAACTATTATATTCTTCAATTTTCAACCACAATAGTTTTGTATAATTGTACAAGGCCTTCAATTTAATTTGGTTTAGTGTTATTTAATATACTTTAGTTCTACGATAATGATAATAATTATTACAAAATAAATGCCATTGCAAAAGTATATTAGTAAAATTGTCAAAAAATGTATTTAAACATTTATCTGTGTACAACCGAATTAGAAGTTTCTGGGGAGAAAAATATTTTAAAAATAATTCTTACTTTTTTAATTAAATACTATACAATTACACGTAGGTACTATAATTTAAAAAAAAATACAAACCCCCTTTATTCCAACAAATTAATCACGGAAGCAATTGTAATTCGATTGTTGTACGTAACGTCAAAATAAAATTAGAGTCAATTTGTATTCAGACTACGTGCCATACTTACACAGGGCGTATCTCCATATGTCTTTCAGGGGCCAATTGCCATTTCGACCGCCGACCACATAAATGTGGTTACCGTGAACAGCAGCGCTGTGCTTAGATCTTGATGGTGGAACGCTATTGTCGCTTGTAAACGTTACCGGGGTCCACATATTACTAAAAAATAAAAAATGCAATGAATTTTATGAAACCGTGTTTTAATATATACCGAATTTAGATCATATAGACAAGAATATAATATTTAGATTGTATCTGTATTAACAAACATGGTAACTTTTAATTTTTATTAATCCACGCAGCAGAAACCAAGAAATTAATCAAAATTTAAAAAATAGTATGCAGGTTATGTATTATACTAAAACTAAACTATTATTCTTTCAGAAATTTTTTCCAATATGACCTCTTTTATAATATTGAAAATTCCGTTTTAAAGTATTTTCTGCGGTTAATTGTAGAAGTTGTAGAAGTAATATTATTTTAAATACGCCTTGCAGAATACTTGAAACAAGTATATTCCTAAAAGCCAGTGAACCCAGTAGTGGATTTGTGGGATCTTCCCTATTGCAGGTTAACATTAGTAATTATCATAAAAGCCACGATTTAAATATAGATTTATCGTATTCTTATAGGCTATCTTAAATGATGTCTGTAGCGAACAGAATTGCTCCGTTGCCAACGTTTTCTTACTTATGAATATTATTAAATTATTTAAATTATTTAATGTCAAAATTATTACTATCTTTGTATAATCCGTTAATATGCTGTGACTCTGATAACTTTGGTGGCTTGTTTTAGTCTTAAAGAGATTGAAAGCAGTGATGTTCTTTCTTTGTCAAAAACAGGCTCTACAAAAGGATATATAGAATATATTGTTATGTTTCAAATATCCACTTGATCTAGAGAAGTAGTAAGATTTCTGAAAATATATTTTAATTTGTAAATTTGTAGTAAGTCTACACTTGAGTTTCCCTTTCCAAAATTTTTGATTTTATACCCCTAAATCATTACAAAAAAAATAGATTAAAAGTATAAATTACAAAATTGAAAATATGGAGAAGTTGATCGCAAGTAGACTACGAACAATTTTTGTTTTAAACAAGGACTTGCGATCCTTTCAGCTGAATTTTCTTCCAATATTTGTCTAATTGTTTGTGTGGTCAAACATGTATACTATAAGTATTAGTTTTTATGATAATTTAACTTAGAAGTCAAGAATTAATTTCACCAACATGAAATACATATCATGTCTTCATCCTATCACATTATATATGTCACTCATAAATATCCCTATTCGCCCCTCCCCTTAGGCCTTAGATAAGCTTTAGATCTGCCCCTGTGGGAACCAAATCCATTTAATGTTTAGATGACTTCATTTACATATTATATAAGGTCTGAAAATTAATTATACTACTATATTAACTATTAAATAATATTATGTGACATAATTTATGTTGTAGATTTATGAATTATTCTCATTAGGTATGAACGTAATGGGCCCCGATTCAATTACGATAGTTATAATATTGTAAAATAGTTTAAAATAGTGAAAAATAAGTAGAGGTACGCATGAAGAGTTGGATTAAAAGATTTGGTGGAGCCCGGTGCTCAATTTGAATTCAATCGATTCTTAATAATTATTTACAATTTAAAATAAATATAATGGTGATAGTTAGAACTAACTACTTATTACTATACACAACATATATCTACATTATAGCCTAAAGAATGTGGGATATAGAAAATTGAATAAAGGCCAAAGGGACTACACGCCTATCATACTATATAATATAATATGTTTATGGTTAATAAACACGCGATTTCAACCACTAATTGAAACACCTTACAACAAAATATTCTCATTGAAAATGATTACTACCTGTTGCAATAATTCCGCATTAACGAGAAACATTATAGGTAAACTAATATTTGGTATATTAATTACTACCTATTATGTTACATAGGTAAGTAACAAGCTAAAATACATGTATTAGAATAATGTTTTAGGTTCAAATTACAATATAAATTAACTTGAAGCTACCTATATATCTTCAAGATACCTGAATATATTTTTAAAAGCATAATCATTTTTAACACATTTTGAGATACCACACCAAAAAATCGATTATTTTTTTTACTTTACAACACAATATCTGAATGCTTTTTAGTGGCTTAAACCTTTTCGATAACATTTTATTTTTTAAACATTAAATGATAAAAAATCAGATAAAATTTGATACACCAGTATAGTCAGTATAATGTTATATTATCTTTTTTTTTTTTTTGTGGTATCGAGAACCAGAGGGGGGACCGCGTTAGCATTACTTCCCCTCATAATGTTATATTATCTAATCTATATAATCTATTTTAACCAAACAATTATAATATAGTAAATTTAAATCTAAAATAAAATTAACTACAGGTAGAATAAATAAATGTATATAGGTGCCATTAATAAATTGTATTGTATTTTGTCTTTCAACACTCAAAATATCATGTTTATATTATTTTTGATATGTATTTTAGTTAAGAAAAACATTTAATAACGAAAATAGGTGGGTACATAATATTATAATATATACTTTGAAAATATTTTTCAACTCTTACCTTATAAATCGATATTGATCTTCAATGTCAATTTTTTTTCCATACAACAGATTATTTAAAGCCATTTAATAGTTCATATTTTATTATGCAATAATTAATTTTTAACCATTATCCAACTTCCATGTACAATTAATGTAAAATAATGGTAAAGCAAATATTAATTATTATCGCAGGTTTGTATTATAACATCGTGAGTGGTTTCTTTCCATCCCTCGTCTCGAATTCTCGACAACATATTCGTATTAAGCTTCTATCTAATATCAACAATCGCGACGTCGTTATATAGTATAGAGTATAGTGTATAACATCTTCCCAGGGACGAAGTAACACGAATTCCCCAAGGGACGTTCTCCCGGCAACGATGATGGACAGAACGATTCCCCCCGGAACGATGCGTGCGTGTGCCTTAAAGAAGTTTTTTTCCGTTTCTCTTACCCAAAGTACGTTTTTATTTTTTTATCCTCTAACGACAAACCCGTACATAAGAATCCTCGAGTTTACTGCGATACGAGGGATGGAAATCGTGACCACGCGCCGCGGTTGCCAAGGAGGGTCGTTTTCGTTATAGGGTAGGTTGGCGATTCTTCAATAATTCAAAGTTCCAAAACGAGGGATCTTTACCGACCAACAGCACATAAATTGCCATAAACCTCGGTCGGTAGACACTAGTGTTTCAACACTATACGCTCGGCCATAAGTCTAAACACACGAGAGCTTTCACTGAAATTAGCTACCTTACATGATGGGAAAAAAACCCCACACCATCAAGACCACAGCTGTCCGCGTAAACTGACATCGTCACCATAGCGCTATATGGCTATATAAGAGCTGTATACGTATACAAGTCACGTAAACCACTTTTTTCGGCCTCGATACGCATATTACGTGTATATGTGCGCTGTCGTGTGTCGTTGAAGATTAACGACTCTTTTGGGACTATAGAAATGAAATAACCAGCCGATTTTTAGGGTTTTATAAATTGTTAAATATAATTGCAAATAGTCTATAATGTAAAGTTAGTTTTGACTTTCTATTGTCCACCGTATTTGCCTTCACAAACTTTCAAAGAATACCACACGATCTCTTGGGACTTATAACTTAGGTCGTTTAAAAGAAAACATTCAACCATTTGCCCCTATACAATATTTTTCTCCTTAAATAATTCGTTATAAACTCAAGAAGGAATGGTATTTAATGTTGTTAAACTGTAATTACTGATTATTATTTATTAATTTATTATCATAGGTAAAAAGTGGTATAATAATATGTATTGTGCATTTTTTAGGAAGTAAAAATTACATTCATTTTAGTATTTCACAATCAAACTCTGTATAACAGTATAAGTATCTAAGAAAAAAAAATGAATAGCAATTTCATTGCATAAAACATTATTTTTTATTTAGTAAACAATTGACATTCACATTTTACATGAATTGTATGTCGATATAGTAGATGTATCAGATCAACTGATGACTTCGAAAAACTACAGTTAAGAAAACACCCCCATGGAATTATCAAATACCCTATATAATATGTAAATTTTCACCAGAACGCTGCATCTTTTATTCTATTTTTTTTTTAATATAATAATACCAAAATTGTTTAAAGAAATAACAGTTGGTTTTACCAATTTACATAGATATAGGCCACGCGAATGCATAAAACAGCCATATAATCCACATTTGCTTATAGGTATACACAATCATGTTAAGCCGTTTACACTCCATGTACTTGTCGCAGGTAAGAATCCCAAAAGGACATATTTCTTTCTAGAATTTATACTCTTGGAAAACTCAATTTCATTTTTGGAAAAAACTTTAACACTCGAATACATAAATTACGGAATATAAAGTATTTCAGCTTTAAATATTAAAACCAAACCGATTAAGAGCTTATAACGCACTAGGCAATAATTTTTAATATCTAAATATCACTACTCGTTAAATAAGAAAAACTCTTTTCCAGAACATAAATGTAGACCAGTGATTTCAAAATGGGACTCGGATAAGATAATTTCCGTAACGACTAAAGAAAATTATATACCAACATTAAGTCCCAAGTGGCACTATAATTTCCAAAAGAACATAATGCTTTTTCAATTTAAACCAATTACCCACGCAGTAAAAAGTAATATGGACAATAAGTATCGTAATTTGTAGCACAAAGTTAAACCCGACTAATAAATTGAATTACGTTAAAAATAAAATTAATTAGGTAATATTGATACCTACATAGAAGGAGGAGTAAAAATGTACAATTATAGGAAAGACTGGATTTTTTTATTTAACAATTCATGGACTAACTAATTTTCAATCATTTCGTTCATAAAATATTATAGTTTACATGATTTTTTCTCGAATGTAGGAACGTCAAACATAAAAACAAATTGAAAAAGTTTTTTTATGTATATAAATTCATAAATCATAAAATACTAGTTCTTAAAGTGTGCCTATTTACTATGTATATAGTAAAACCGTTACATTATAAAATAAAATAAATGCTTGAACTACATAATATGCTGAGTACAATTTGATATATATTACATATTCTAGAATTAAATATTTTAACAAAAATTTGTATAGGGTTATATAATAGGTATTTTAAATAATTTCAATTATTAATATTACCTATATCGTAACTATTTTGCTGTTGTTCTATTAAATGTTCAATGTAGCTTCGTTCCAAATTGTTTTGTTTTTTCGTATTGTCTTTATAAAATATTATTTAACTATTACTTCATGGCCAAAACTACATTACAAAACAATATTTAAAACCAAATTCGTGACAATCGTATGATTTTTTTGGGTTCAAAATGTAGTTGTAAATAATTATCTACGGCATTATCTACGTCTTTCAACATATTTCGCAAGTATTGAATCATCGTAATAACTTAAACTTTAAAGTATATAAATACAATATGATCAAATACGCAGTTCATGATATTGCATGTATTCAGCTTAGATATAGATATTTATTTCCTAATGTTTGGATTAAATTAATATTCGAATATCAAAATTTTAAATTACATATTATTGCATATTTTAGCTTTGTTTTCTGGTTTATGTCACTATGTTGTATGATTTTCGATACAAAAAAAAAAAACACGTAACTAACTAAAACTGAATCAAAGTTTGCACATCTGTATTCTATATAAATTATGCAACAATCATCAATTATTTATTTTTCGGTGATAGTGGCTTGGCGTGGCCGTTGGCTGCTACCAGTCGCGGAATGCGGAGTAAGTAACAGCCACAGCTACTAGCTCCCGGATGGGTGACCACCCGGGTTCATAGTAGTTAAAAACCTTGCCACACATACACGTGTTTGCTACCTACCGTAACAACCCTAACAATTGTAAAAACAACCTACAGTACCAACCTTACCCCTACCACAGTTCATAACCCCTAACAGCTAATGGCCTTAGTCGCCGGGCTTAAGTTCAATAAAAAAAAAAAAAATTAAAATATATTCGGAGATATATTTAGAATGTCCGATAGAGCTCATCGATTGTCACAACCATATAATCTTAAGACTGAGATAACTTGGAACGTATGTACCTGTGATTGCGCAGGTAATCAATATTTATATATATTTTTTAAACACCTTGAACTTTGATTAAAAACTTAAAAAATTGAAGAATTAAGATATGAAAATGTTTAATGCATATTTTAAAATTTGTTCATGCATTTTTAGTGACTTCATATTTACTAATTTTTTAGAGAATAAACGCATCCTAACTCTAACATAGGTATCTATAAAATAAAAGTACTCATATTGTTTAATACCACGTTAATTCTAATGCCAAAGGAAAAATTGAAACTCAACAATAAAAACTAAAACCGTAACACTAAACTAAAAAAATGTATGGTTAAAGGCCTCAACAGCGGCGAGTATGCAACCTACCTACTTATGGGCTACACTGCTGCTTCCGAGACGACCTCAAATATTGTCAGCCACAGAGTTATAATAATAACACAATATTATTATATTTTACTCGGCCTTCGGAGGAGATTTTTTGTTTAGGAGGCGACGATTTCGCCGCCGCCGAATCTGCAGTGATGGCCGTGTTGCGGCGCGTGGTCGTCTCGGCGGGCTGCGATGATGGTCATCTGCGACGCCTTGTCCACGCAACGACACGATCGTCACAAGCCTGTGTGCCGCGAGTGCGAGTGTGAGTGCCAGCGATGCGTCTCCGCCGCGATCTGCTCACGCGGGCTAATTACAACGTGTCGATGTGATGGTAATAATAATAATAATACGTTCGCAGCAGCGATACCGCGGGGACCGGGGTGCCAGAGTGTACTGCTGAGATCGCGGCGCGAGGATGGCGCGAAACGCTCGGCGGGACGGCAGTGATAAGGAGCGCGCCGCCGCGAGATGCGCAGCGCACGCGCTCCGCCGGCGCCGTGGGACGCGTTTCGCGTGTGCGGCCGGCGCTCGCGTCGCATCGCGTCCCTCGTCGCCGTCGTCGCCGTCGTGAATGGGGTGCGCGTTATTGATTACTCTAATAATCCACCGCCGCTCGCAGTTAACGGCCGTTCGCTAGTCGGCGGTGATGGGTGGGGGGCGGCGGAGCACAGACTCGACAATATTACTCTTTGTGTGCAACGTCGCGCGTGGGCGGGTTAGGGTGCGTACACACAGTAATATATTATTATGGTGTACGGTGTGGTTTATATCGTTTTTTTTCGTTTTTCACATCACAACCTGCCCCCCCCGCCCTCCCCTTCCCGTCCACCAAGCAAACATCGCTCGACATTCGAGATGAACAACGGCCGCGGAACCTGGGCGGCGGCACGTCGCGAGTACGCGGGTGTGCGTGCACGTCTAAACGGCTGCGGTGTCGTTGCGGGTCAACAACCGACAATTTCTACACGAGTGTGTGTGCACAGACACGTAGTGGTGTACCGATTATTATTATTACACACAGCATCGATGGTCGACGTGGTATTGGTACTAATGATTGTCACTGTCGTGTCGTTACGACTTTCGTCGTTTGCCGGATCATAAAAGCCATCGACGCGTCATCATTGGATATACTATTATAATAAAATAGTACCTAACGCGCCCGTTCACAACTACCAGCGGTGTATTTAGGTCGGGGTCTAGGGGAACCTCTAAATACGTTCATGTTGGAGGGAGGGGACACTACTTTTATCACGATATTAAAGAAAACTTAGAAATTTTTTTTAACCAAACTTAAATTGTACATACATATTATATATATATAAACAATGTTATTGCTCTCGATAAATTTATAAGTAGGTATAAATTTAAAATAAAACAATTATTATCATAATTATAGTTTTTTTCTTATCGGCTATTCTAGCATCACTATTTAATAATTTGATTTCTGTGCTTGAGGGGCCTCTGCCTCCTAAAGCCGCGAAATTTTAAGTTATGCCGCCGGCAACTATATAAATACGATACTACAAAATCGCGAGCAGTATACATTTGTACTGTTGTAGGTCTGTGTAGACATATCTAATATTATGACGCCTCGTTTACCCCCGCAGGACCCACCCCGCGCTACACCAAAATTGATGTGCACACGCTCCCCGGATACACACACCTACCCTCTTCCGCCGACATCGTGAAAATCCTCTTCAGTCGACTTATAAATATATATATAAGAATTTATCATGCGGTAGAGGGGGCCAATGCATTTTACGATGTTTCAAAGTTTTCACTTCACTCTCTCTCGCTCACTCTCTCTTTATCTGTCTCAAGAGGAAAAATAATCGTTTACGACGTAACATTTGTTTGTGTAGTAAAATTAGTCTAAAAATATTTAGGTCATCCAGATGGGGTTGAAAATTTCAGAAGCATCTATACTTATATAGTATATCATACCCTCTTTCGATCGCAGCATCATCTGTAGTACTATACACGGTAGAACGATTTTATAAAGAAAAAAAATGGCCATAAACGAAAAGAAACAATTTATTCTCTAGACGTGCGTTTTCGGTCGGATGGACATGCGACATGATTGTTATCCGTCATGTCTCCATCAAAATATATAAGAGATGCCATCGCTGCTGGTTCGTTCCCGATTTTACGCATGAATAATTCGATTTTTGAGTTGGTATCAACTTTACTAATATACATGTACATACACCATAATATTTATGAGTGTGTTATAATATATATAATGTATTATAACACATTTTTTATTATAATATATTTATTTATTAATATATTAATATTAGTATATATTATTAAATTATAATATATTCTAATAATTATTATATATTAATATATTATATATTTATATGAAATAGACTTTCGATATATGTTCTATATGAAAATACACGATTCCAAAACTCTGCTCAATACCATTACAAAGTTTGTAAAATAAACGATCCTATTTATTTCCATTACATCGATACCACTAACATAATAGGACTTAAAAACTTAATATTTCAAACAGGAAAACCCGGCGGCAAACCTAATTTCAGGCCTTTCGGAGGCGAAGCCATCTATACTTACAGTAAAACAATATAAAATGCATGTGGTAATTCAGAATGTACATTTAATATTCGAAATTATATAAGCTCATTCCTAAATTGCTGAGCATTAACAATAAACAAGCGGAAACTGAGATTTTCTAAAGCATGATAAATAATTAATTAAAATTTAGCTGATGCAGTAGTTTGTACTGTATACGGTTACCATAAATAATAATAATAAAATATAATTATCACTTACCCTGTTTGTTAGGTACTCTGTAAGTGCAAAGATATAATGTTACCACATTACGTCTTCGTTGATGACAAAAACACATTCAAGTGACAACTGCTTGTGTAATTTATTGTTCAACATTTCTAAAAACATTATAGAATGTACAAGCCGATTAATTAGTTGTTTAACTAAGTCAAATGTGATCATAATTTATTTCATGTTTAAAGAGTAACATTTCCATTCATAACTCTGAGTTTTCTAATTAAAACTTGGGATGAAAAATAAAAAAATAAAACAAATAAATTCCGAGAAATGTTTTTATAATGAGACAATGGACAAAGAAGGACGACATGCCCGTCTTAATGAAATCTCTGCGTAATGAAAATGTATATGTATATCTTTATACGTTTTACTAAACTCACAAAGAAAAATCACGGAAAGCAATAAAGTTATAAAGTTTATAAATAATAAAGACAAATTACAAATTACAAATATAAATTTACTAATTACATGATAAAACGAATTTTAATTAAAATATTGTAGTAATTAGTATTTATACTGTAAGGTACACAGATTTTATCATTATAATAATATAAGCAAAATTCAATAGTAAAATATTATACCAATAATTTTGGTTTATTAAAGTTTTGACAATAAGTTGCATTGCCAATTATATAGTAAAGGCGTACCTAAAGCAATCTGTAAAATACCTATTCAGAATAAATTTAATACTTAATAGTAATATCAGACAACAAAACAATAAATCTTGGATATATAGATATTAGAATTTAGAATGCTATATTGTATGTATGTTCATTGTACACTGTTCAAAATTACATTAAGAAAAGATTATAATAAAACGAATTGTTAGGTAAATATTGTATTGTTTTTAACAATAGTTGTATAAAGTTTGAAAATTCTTAACTTTTCAAAACTAAGTTAAACAAAATTACAAAACGTAATTAACGCTTACAACGGGATTGGAATATAATTTAATTTAATAACTGTTGACCTATATATTTATATTTGAAATATAAGGCTTCAAATACTGATAAAAATAAATACTATATTAGGTGTAACAAATCCTATATTAAAAAAAAACATTTTATTTTCAGTATTATTTATGTCAAGAGTAAGCAACCATTTTGATGTCAAGGGCCAAAAAAATTTGAATGTACCTTATTATATTTTAAATAAAAATGTATAGGTAGTCACTAGTCATATTAGATTTAGTTTATTTGAGTTCATAACTGTTAGGTTTATTAATTTAACACTACTATTTTAAACAAAGTTTTAATCCACTTTTTAAATTCCATAATACCTAAGTCCATGGTTTTAATATATAATGTCTATATTTTAATATTTAAACAAATTATAAAGTTTACTCACGAGCCAAATAAAATTACTATAAGGGCCATTTCTGGCCCACGGGTTACCGACCCTTGGTTTAGACAATTTACTAATTGTTCACATTTACCTAAGTAATTATTATTTGTTAAATACAATATACCGACACATCGTAGCAAACGGTACAAAGAAAGCTAGACTGAATTTGGTGCATTATATTGTAATAAACAATTTTTAAATATAATTTTTTTCTTACGATTATTAGTTTTTTTTTATTAATGAGATTTTAACATATAAATATTATTAATTATAATTACCATTATTTATAAACTTTTTTTCTTTGAACCGAAAACAGGGGGTGGAACTACTTTCCAATTACTTTAGTGATACCCAGCTTTAATCATCAACTATTTAAAATATAATATGATGTAAATAAAGATTGTATAACCATCATAATAATGATTATAATTTATAAGTATAGGTATATGATTTGCGAATCTTCGTATATTCCATTGACAATAATATATAATCAATTATTTTTATTAAAAAAATGAGGAAATCGGATCTACAATATTCTACATAACAAATTAAATACGCCGAGCGTACCTTGTCACTATATTAAAGGATGGTGTAAACAGGTACTTAGATTTGGATCAATGATAAATCACAAAAAAAATAATTAAAACAAGTGTCAAGTGACACATATCATATAAAGCTATTGGCTATTGTAAAATCAATAGGTATCTATTGCCTATTGGTATAATAATAATAGGTACCTATTTAAATAAAGATTTATTAATCTTTCCACTCGGAATCAATAAAATTATAAGAAAATAATTTATGTACCTATCAATGTATTCATTTAAAATATAAGTATATAACTACCTATGCATTTCTAACCCTGCATTTACAAACATTTAAAACCGAAGTTCCTGGATATGAAAATAAAAATAAAATAGAAAATTATAGACTACAGCTCGCAGCTACCTCAACTTTTATAAAATATATCAATCTTAAAAATATTTAACACAAATAGGTATGCACTATATCCATTATCCGCGTTATTCTTATATTCAAGAATTTTAAATTTTAAATGATATCATCAAACTTATAACTACTAATTATATGTTACTTTTTAATATAGATAATAGATGAACTAATTGATTTCAGTGAAAGCTCATTTCTTGAATAATTAAATTTTTATGATTAAGACTAGATTATTAATAAAACGAAAACGTTGCTAATGAAAGTTGGTACATTTTTAAAGCGGCAACTTTAATAACTATAACTAGGTACCGTATCTA